CCACAGGCCCTGCATGGTGCTCTACTGCATCACCCTCTCATGCTTGGTGACCTGGATGGTGTTGTCACAGTGAAGGCCAGGCCTTACCCCTTCTAAAATCCCCATGGCTAGTCCTGATGGATTCTTACGTGTTCCCCTGACATGGTGTCTCTGCTTCTAGTCCACTGTTCCCTGCTGCCAGTGGGGAGGGAGCCTAGAAAGTTTCTGGGATAAACTTGAACTTTGCAAGATTAGTGCTTCCTGGTTATGAGGCGCTGGTTTGTAAGAGGGCTAAGACTGCGGGATTCATTTGAGCCTGAACTGTCTGCTGGGGATTCAATGGGATGTTGGAGCGTGGGCATTTACAGCTTGCGTAGTGAGTGCAAAGCACAGACTAATGTGCTTCAGGCCCTTGAGCTGGCATGAAGGTGGGATTGGAGGCTTATGCAGAGCCCAGGAGCGTCTGTGCTTCTGCATGGCAGAGGCTGGTGTTGGATCTGCCTTGTCCTGTCCCACTGTGCCTGTGGCAGCGTGTCCAGAGATACATGCCCAGGCAGGCGTGCTCTGACGCTCTCTGGCATGGATCATCTTGCTACACTTTCTTTGTGTACTCGGGGCCCAAAAAGCAGAGCGTGCTAAAATAAAAAAAGACCTGTTTTTATCATTTTTAATTTGTGTTTTTTATTAAAATTAAACACTTCAGAGCCATTCACCAAAAAAAAAAAGGTCTCCTTTTAGAAGTAAACTTTTCCAGGGCTGGAGAGATGGCTCAGCGGTTAAGAGCACTGACTGCTCTTCCAGAGGACCCAGGTTCAATTCCTAGCACCCACATGGCAGCTCACAACTGTTTGAAAACCCAGTTCCAGGGGATCTGACACCTTCACACCAATGCACATAAAATAAAAATAACTAAATGATAAAAAATAAAAAAATTTAAAAGGTCAACTTTTCCTCTGATTTTCCCCCATTTGAGAGCAGGGATATTAAGGTGGGCTGAAGAACTTTTTTTTTTTTTTTTTTAAATAAGAGTGTAATGATACTTTTCACAGCTGCCGTAGAGAGGACATGAAAATGGTTTCACCTTTTCCTGCTTCGTATCGGAAGCATTTCAAGGAATCTGGTTTCTAGAAGAGACAAGAGAGACGCCTGTCTCTATAACCTGCGTGTTATGGCCCAGACCGACAATAGACACAACCCCATGTCACCAAACACAGACTATAGAAATGGCGAAGGGAATAGCCATGGGAAAGACAGACACGGTAGTTTGGCAACCGTAGGACACTGGGCTTCTCACTCAGTGCTTTCCATGGATTGTGTCAGTTTTGTCCCCGGCTTGTAACCCAGGCCAGGGCTTGTTTTTAAGCCTGAGAAGCAGACAGTTGAAGAAGTTTTCTCAGGCGGTTGACTTATAACTCCAAGCTTAAGGCATCAAACACTTTGGGAAAGTGAGTTAGAGACTGAAGTTTGCAGCTTTTCTCCCCAGATAGAGTTGCGTTTTCAAAGGGCTGCGGAAGGCTGTGTCGAAGCCCAGGAAGTGAAAAGAGGCAACAAGGCAATTACTCAGATACTTAATGTCAAAACTCTCAGCACCTTTGCCTCAATTAGTGAAGTAACTGAAGCAAAAAATGAACATACGGGCCATTCCACAGGCAATTCCGGGAGTGTCTGGCTCAGGTGCTCACCTTCTGAGGAGCAGGGGGCCCAGAGGAAAATACAGGGGCTGGCAGAGCCCTGACTCCGTGTGGAGTGGTTTGTGTGTTGAGCAGTGGGGTAGTCACAAGGACACAGGTCCTCAGCACTAACCTCATTTCAGCTCCTACAGTTAAAATGGAGATGGAGGGGCTGGTAGCTGGCTTAGCGAATAAGACCACTTGCTGTAAAAGCTCACAGAAGCCAAGGGTACCTGTCCTATAACCCCAGCACTGAAGGGTGGGCCCAGGAGCAACTGGCCAGCCAGGCTCTTGAGCAATAGTTTTTGTGTTTAGTGAGAAGCCCTGTCTCACACAGTTCGGTGGTTTTGAATAGAGGAAGACATTCAGTGTTCTCCTTGGGCCTCCGCATGGGTGTATCCACATTTATACAGACACACACACAGACACACACACAGAGGCCTCTGCATGCATGTACTCACACTATACACACAGACACACACACACATCTCTTTCTCATGGGGGTGAGTGGGTGGGAGTGGGGACAAAAACTCAAACAAAACAAAACAAAACAAGGATGGTAATGTCAAGTGGTATAATCCCAGAATGAAGAAGTGGAAGAAGGAGGGTTTGATGTTCAAAGTCAGCCTTAACTACATAAGGAGTTTGAAACCAACCTGAGACTCTGATTCTCTCTCCCCCCCCTCTGTCTCTGTCTCTCTCCCTCCCTCCGTCTGTCCTCTCTCTCTCTCTCTCTCTCTCTCTCTCTCTCTCTCTCTCTCTCTCTCT